CAAAATCTTATGCATCAAGGAGAGTCTAAGATAGTTCAGTTTAACTTTCTCAAATAGACTTGGAGAATTATTCTATACAAATGTGCTGCTTGGGTTACTTCAACTTTAAATCATTTTGTAATCTGGCGAAGGAAAATATTTATAGTTGAACGTTGGCTTTCACCTGTTGATGGCACTGCACCAATCCTCTCATTCAGCATCATGTTGACAACCTTTTGTTTTTATGTGATAAAGAATGACTGTGTTAAGGTTTACAGAAAAGGATACAACTGCTATGCATTTATAAATAGCGAAATGTATATTTTTTTTAGATTCTTTCATTCACTTTGTGGTAATGAAATGCAAAGGAACTGGCTTTCTGTGATCAATCTTTATGACTGATTTGATGTTTTGGTATATTTCGTCCATCCCTGCCTGCATCAGAAACAATTCAGTGAAACACGTGCAGTCCAAACTGAGCAGAGGTGTAGTATTTTTGTGGAGGTGGAGGTGCACCAGCTCTGGCATAACATTAGCACAAAGCCTCTGCAACTACCAGTACTTCGTAACATCTTAATCCATAAATATTATTTTTGGCTTCAGGCTGCCAGGCTTACATGGCATGTTTAATCAGTGACAACCTTTGTTCACACATAAAGGACACCCATGATCTCCTGTGTCTTGTCATTTGATATAGCTGCGCCCTGCTGATGAGGGCACTCATTGAAGCGGACTTGTACCTAGAAGTGATTTTGGCAGTAAGAAGTCGCTAATAGAGTTTCAACGACTAGTTGTTAGAAAGAAAGATAATTGGCAACTATTTTGATAATTGTTTAATTGTGAAAGTCATGTTTCATGCAACAAATTACCGAAAATCCTCCTCAAATATGCTAATATTTAGTTGCAACCCTAGCCGCTATATACTGTTTCATTTCAACAGCAGTCAGTAATGGACCGTCTCATTCAGAGTTACACACACACACACACACACACACACACACACACACACACACACACACACACACACACACACACACACACACACACACACACACACATACACACATACACACATACACACACACACACACACACACACACACACACACACACACACACACACACACACACACTCAGACGTAAACAGAGGGTTATTCACAAGAGTACTCTGACGTGGGAGTGGAGAAAGGCCTGTGTGTTCACTCTGTCGTTCTTTGTCTCTCACTCTCTGCCCACTTATTCCTCTGAAGGTCTCTGGTCTCATGATTGGCTGCGGCTGATAAGAGGAAGTTTCACACTGTGTAGAGTACAGAGTGTAGAGCTGTGACTTAGACTGTGTCGTGCAGTGGAGATGCAACAAGGCTGGCTATTTAAATATGTCAGCTAGACAAGCATTATCAATTCCTCATTTCTCAATTTCCACATTGCAACATAGCACATCTTTGTGTGTGTGTGTGTGTGAACGTACTTGTGTGCAAAAAAAGGGAGAAAATATAGATGCACAATCTGGATAAATGGGTCAAAGGTGGACAGACCAGACACATGAATCAAACCGTGCAGCACTGCCCTTATTGGAAAAAGAGACAAGAGGGAAAAACTTGGTCATTAGGTTGCTTTGTGTAAATCCTTGAAAAAAGCAGAGAGAGCTCGGATTAAAAGATGTCTGACAGCTGATGAATAACTCCAGGCAAGGACGGAAAGACACTGAGAGGATGTGAATGCTCTGAAGTTGATTAATTCTGCCTGATTTGTGGGAAGAGAGGGTAGAAGAAGATGAGGACAGGAAAAGAGAAGGATGCTGGAAACAAATACACCACTGTCAGAGATTGAAATCTTTTTTGGAATATATTGTATATATTTGTGTTTTGTCACGATAACTTTGGAAGCATTTACGTTTTTTAAACAAAGGTAGGGTAGGTACGTTTGGAGAAACCAGCTCGAGATCGCTAGAATTTGAAGATACACAACCAGAGAAAATCTACCACTTCCTTATAGAGCCCCTCCTCCAACACACACGAACGCGCACATGACCAATGAGGGCACGAGATAAGTTTGTGCACAGATGGAAGGCTGACAGGCAGGTAGGCCATCCAGTTATTTTAGCCGGGCCGGCTAAAATGATTGGTCGTGCTTTTTACAGTACTACAGCTTCCACAGATGACATTTTTTTATGGATTTTTTGTCAAAGCACTTAAGATATTCATTGCTATCGGGATGTTAAGAGCATTCCATGGAATATAACAAAAAGTGTATCTCGAGCCGGTTTCTCAAACTTACATACCCTACCTTTAAATTCGGAATAAAACATGATCAGCACCTTCTGTGATGTAAGGCCTCCGCACGGCAGCAGCTGTGTGAGCACTTCTCCTCCATGTGCTTAGCGTTCCATGACTTCCCACAACTCCCTGGGAAGCTCAGGCTCAGGGATTAATACCTGGGTTGGCATGGCAACAGTGACGCGGCCATCGCCATGGGAGATAATAACCAGGAAGAGAGGGTGAACATAAAAAGCCAGGAGAGTGAAGTTATTCTGTTGGATCTCTGAACAAATGTCAGCGTCAGACATGTTTGCTCTAACCAAGAATTCTTTATTTACCAAGTGTGATAAGAAAGGATATTTGTGCGACGCAGCACAACACCAGGATTGATTGAACTGCTCAATCAATACCAGTGACTCAGCATTTCATTTCCTGGCCAGCTGCTGAGCTTTTTGCTTCCTTCGTCTCTTTTCAGCCATATATCAGCCTCATATGTTTTGGAAACATGTTTGTATTCTATATATATCTAACATCCCAAACAGCATTGGTCACAGATTGCATTACTGTGAGTGGATAATGTATGCAGCAAAAAGGAGTGAAAAGGAGTATAAGAGAGTGAGGAAGACAGAGGTAACTGGGTGGAGAGAGAGAGAGGTGAGGGAGGGGGGGCTTAGCCGATAATTCCTCTTAAAGCTCAGATGAACAGCTGATGCACTTAGTTCAATTGTACACTCCCAGTGGACGTGTGTGTGTGTGTGTGTGTGTGTGTGTGTGTGTGTGTGTGTGTGTGTGTGTGTGTGTGTGTGTGTGTGTGTGTGTGTGTGTGTGTGTGTGTGTGTGTGTGTGTGTGTGTGTGTGTGTGTGTGTGTGTGTGTGTGTGTGTGTGTGTGTGTGTGTGTGTGTGTGTATATGACGGTGCAGCTTCCCATTTTAATAGCACTGTGTAGGAGAACTGACGGAGAAGAATAAACTAATGTGGAGATTTTTTTTTTTTTTTTTATTGGATACTTTTAAAATGTGCATTTGTGATCATGTGTGGTTACGTGCATATGCAGTTATGTGCCCAATGCACACCTGTGTCCTATTTGAGTAATGCACATCTTGTCTACATGTGTAGTATATATATTTGCACTTCAACATATCTATCACACACACACACACACACACACACACACACACACACACACACACACACACACACACACACACACACACACACACACACACACACACACACACACACACACACACACACACACACACTCTACCTCAGGGTCAGAATGTCTCACTTTAACACTAATAACCAAACCAGAACAAGCAGTGATGGATGAAAGGCTTGATGTGTTAAACACTTCACACAGGCTGTTTGCAGACCCTTATGTGTATTAAAGGTTCATGATGAATTCATTCAACACATGATTACTCTGTATGATAGTTTAAAATCCAATTGCAATGGTCATTAACTTGAGATTTCACCTGTTATTCCAGATTTTCATCATGACTGTGGTGAAATTGCGGTTTTAATTCAATCTGGAGTTAGAAGCAAACATCCTTTATGTGTACATCAGCATCGCTGCATCTTCCCTGGTGCTTTTACAAATGATACATTACTTTGATTGGACAGAGACGGAGAGGGCATCACAGAGTCTGAAGCATTGACGGGGGGGGGGGGGCACACCCAGGGGAGGAGGCCACGCTGTCGGCCCTGCACTATTGAGACTCTCCCTTGGGTGGCCTGGGTCTAGAGGTGGTCGGAGAGATGAGTGGGGGGGTGTATACACCAGCTGTGGATCGTATGAATTAACTGAAGAACAATGCATTGGATGAATAAATGGAAAATAAATCAGAGGAAGATAGAAGGCTTCACTTTCCCAAAACTCAGGTCAAGGAGAAAAAATGCTCCTTCTTTTCAAATGGACTGTGTCAGACAATTTGATTTTTCAAAGTGTTTTTACTTAGTAGTGTTCATTGTGTCTACACTCAAAGTTTTCATTTCATAAATTAATATTTTGTCAACAGATTACACATAACTGTATTAGGTTAGTTGAAAGCAATAATATCAAGTTGAACCTTTTTTATTTAAACTTCATATTATTGGTTTCAACTAACCTATTATAGTCATGTCTAATCTGTTGAAAAAAAACATTTAATTAAAGGTGGGGTATGTAATTTATTTCAGATACACTTTTTGTTATATTCCATGGAATGCTCTTAACATCCCGATAGCAATGAATATCTTAAGTGCTTTGACAAAAAATCCATAAAAAAATGTCATCTGTGGAAGCCGTAGTACTGTAAAAAGTACAACCAATCATCTGAGCCGGCCCGGCTAAAATAACTGGATGGCCTACCTGCCTGTCAGCCTTCCATCTGTGCACAAACTTATCTCGTGCCCTCATTGGTCATGTGCGCGTTTGTGTGTGTTGGAGGAGGGGCTCTGTGAGGAAGTGGCAGATTTTTTCCAGTTGTGTATTTTCAAATCCTAGCGATCTCGAGCCGGTTTCTCCAAAATTACCTACCCCACCTTTAAGTCAACTTTTCATTTTTTTTTGTGTACGTATATTGATTTTTACAAAAAAAGACTGCTATGTATGTGGTTAACCGTCTTGTGTCGTATGATTGAAAAAGCTACATTCTGCCAAAATGTGTAACAGCATGAGATTCAGTATTAATACAAGTGTTCTGGTTAGAGCCATCTTGTTCTAGAACAGCATTTTATGAAGCTAACATGAGTTTAACTTCATGTGTTCTTGTGTTTTTCAGCTGTTTCGAGAGGTACGCATCATGAAAACTCTGAACCATCCCAACATAGGTGAGTTCCGCTGCAGAGGATTCATCTACGTGTGTTTCCATGCTGCCCTTTGCTAACTCCTCTTCCTCGGTGTATTACAGTGAAGTTGTTTGAGGTGATTGAGACTGAGAAGACTCTTTACCTGATTATGGAGTACGCTAGCGGAGGTGAGTGCCCCCCCCCCCCCCCCCCCCCCCCCCCCCCCACGCTCATGAATGTTGCCAAGTAGTGAATGGTGCAAGTTAGAATGATCACTGAACTATATAGTAACACTGATGAACTCATTAATTGAAGGTATCAAACTGTGCTCTCTTTCTTTTTGTATTCCTCTTGTTCTTCAACATTGTTCCACTTTCCCATGCATTACTCTATTTTTGTATCTTCATTCTTTTTCTTTCTTCCCCCTTGTAATCCCTTAATCTCTCTCTTTATGTTGTGTGATCTCTTTCTTCCAATACCTAATAAGGAGGCAGCTCAAAATGCTGCTCTGTTAAACCCAGACCCCAGCCCCATTTTATTTGTAAGGATATTTAGGATCAAATGTATGGCTGGAGTGCATACATGTACACAACACACATCTATATTGGAGACCTGAAATATGATTTAAGTGTTTAAAACCAAGACTTTTGAGCAGTTTGGGAGTGTCAGTACTTTTTTTTGATGTGTCATGTCTCAGAAAAATAGCACAAGGTGTTTCCACATACACATACGCCTTGACCAATTTCCCCCGGGACAGTTATCAGGTTTCACCTCTTTATGAGATTGCAACATTTGCTCCTGCAATAACATGTTTTTGCAATCTGGACACATGCCTCACTCCAAACTCATACACACCCAGAGTGTTGGAGAACTTATACACCTGATCTCACATAAATACATACTGAGGGAAGAAACCTACATTTACATCCATCTTCTGCAAGTGTTGGTGCTTAAGATATGTTATTATGGGAAGTGGGCAGGGGTTTCGCAACAAAAACTGTCAATAAAGACAACGTAGTCGGTGGACCTTTCTGCTTTTTAGTCTAGTCATGGAATATGTTAATACAAATGTCCATGCTTGCCTGATAGACAGTCTAACTTTTTTTCCGCCCCCTTTCAGGCGAAGTGTTCGACTACCTCGTGGCTCACGGCAGAATGAAGGAGAAGGAGGCCAGAGCCAAGTTCAGACAGGTCTGTAAAACATGGTTCTTTCTGTCTATATTTCTGTCTGTCCATTTGTTGCTGGCCAACCCAGAAGTTAGCATCACAAGGGCTCCCTTGACAAAAAGCAGTGGGAGTTTTCCATTAGGTTGTGAAATATTGCACAAATGATTTAACCTGCAATGTTCAGTATGTTCACTTTTCTTGCAATACTGTGCAATAATAACCTTTATGTGAAAGACATACATTGTTATAAATGTCCCAACATTTGTACAATATCTCAACAACTTAAATGTTACCAATGTCACAGTTCTTTAAATTACTGCTCCTAATTCTTTAGCCATGGATGTGTACTTATTTGTCTTATTTGCCATTTTTTACTGTAACACAAATCTGATTAAGATTAAATCTGAGCTACTTGAAAGTTGATGACGTATTGTTTATAATTGCTGCTTTGCTTTTAACTGGGCAGTGTGAACTTGAAGCAGACCAATATAGAAATACAATAATTTCTTCCACTGTGGTTAGGGCCAAATAAAATCATCAGAAGTGATCGCACAGCTAGAAATTCAGTCTTCTGCTTTTTATTCCTAGTGTTTAGTTACATTGTTGGTTAAGGAGGTTGTGTGTATGTGTGAATAGAGCTTAACATTTAGCTTTTAATGACATGTTAAGACAACAATTAAGTGCAATATTAAAGGTGGGGTAGGTAAGTTTGAGAAACCGGCTCGTGAGACACTTTTTGTTATATTCCATGGAATGCTCTTAACATCCCGATAGCAATGAATATCTCAAGTGCTTTGACAAAAAATCCATAAAAAAATGTCATCTGTGGAAGCCGTAATACTGTAAAAAGCACGACCAATCATTTTAGCCGGCCCGGCTAAAATAACTGGATGGCCTACCTGCCTGTCAGCCTTCCATCTGTGCACAAACTTATCTCGTGCCCTCATTGGTCATGTGCGCGTTCGTGTGTGTTGGAGGAGGGGCTCTGTAAGGAAGTGGCAGATTTTTTCCGGTTGTGTATTTTCAAATTCTAGCGCACTCGAGCTGGTTTCTCAAACGTACCTACCCTACCTTTAATTATCTTCTCTCATTTGTCTTATTATTATTCTCTCTCTCTATTATCTCTCCTCAGATTGTGTCTGCGGTGCACTACTGTCATCGGAAGAACATTGTTCACAGAGACTTGAAGGTGAACGTTTGTCTAACTCATTAACACTTATCTAACAGACTGTATATTACATTTGTACTTTTGTTTGTTTTTATTATGCCTCCTGTAGCACCTTGGGATTGCTGTTAGCAATGAAAGGTGCTTTACTAATCGAATGTATTATTATTATTATTATTATTATTACTGAAACAGGAAGTTACAGTAATTTGCTTTAAAGCTGATATCCATAATACTACAGCTAGATGTTATCGACATAATGTTCAAACTACTACTACCATTTCAATCAGGAGAGACGGTGTTGATGTAAGAATACATATTTATTGCCAGGAATACACAAATGAATGTAATGGAGTTTTGGCGATTAGGCCCTGTTGTGCAGGAGTATCATTCGGGAGGGGAGAACCGATCCAATGAAACCCCCCGGGGTCTAGACACTGGTGGTGGTGGTGAATGGATGGTTCGGTCTGAAGGGGAGGGGCTTAGCTTGACCCTGGTGGTGGTGAATGGATGGTTGGGTTCGGTCTGAAGGGGAGGGGCTTAGCTTGACCCTGGATTCAGAGGGACAGGAGGTGAAAAGGGGTGGAGGAGGGTTGCGTCGAGTCACCTGAAATTACAGCTGTCAGGGGGAGAGCAGATTTAAAAGGTTTAGCGGAGCGCTATGATAGGCTTGTGGGAATAGAGCGAAGTGATTGGTTAAGCTGGGGAGTGACGCCCCCGATCACTTATTGAGAGGAGAGAGAGTAGTAACATAGAAATAGTAAATGAATGAGTAAAGACGGTCTTCCTGGTTGAACTTGCGCTGAGCTTAATTTCTTTATATATGCATGCCAGCCACCAGAGACTATGATCCACTAATACTTGATTATAGTTGTCCTGTTTAGTTTTCTGTATATTAAGTGTCTATATGTTGTATGGTGCAGGCGGAGAACTTGCTACTAGACGCCGACTCCAACATCAAAATAGCCGACTTTGGCTTCAGTAATGAGTTCACTGCGGGCAGTAAACTGGACACCTTCTGCGGCTCCCCGCCTTACGCTGCCCCGGAGCTCTTCCAGGGGAAGAAGTACGACGGTCCAGAGGTGGACATCTGGAGCCTGGGGGTCATCCTATACACACTGGTCAGCGGGTCCTTGCCGTTTGACGGACAGAACCTCAAGGTGGGTGACATGGAGGCTGTGTAGGAGCAAGATATATTTTATTTAAGGAGACTGAGCTCAAAGCAGAGATTATTTTAGATTGTGTCGTACTGCACTGGTGAGCATAAGTGAAGTGTTGGGATACACATACATGTCTTCATCGCTTCATAATTATTATTATTATTGTTATTATTACTGGCTGCTGTCCCTTAGTCAGACAATTCATCTTCTGTAATACATCTGTGAATAACTGTGAAATATATACTTCCACCTTTAATACCATCACCTGGCTATCAAAACTTAACACATGCTACACTTGTTTTTTTAAGTACTGTTAATGGCACTGGATGTGTTTTTTCTTAATTCTAAATTGATTAATTTCTATTTTGTATCTTTAATATTTGTGGCATGCTTCCTAATTGATATGAAACTATCTGGCTCTTTCCTTGCTGTAACAATGTAAATGTCCCCTCAGTCGGAGGAATACATGTGTTCTAATTCTGATCAAATAATAATAGAGTTGTTATTCTTATTGAAGTTTAATGATATCAGGCTATCCAATTTGAACATTTCAAATATTCCTTTAGGGTTTAATTCGATTTTTTTTATGGAATATGTTTGAAATGGCCCTCCAGAGTTTCAAAAACTCTAAAGCCAGCGCTAATTCTAAATTGAGCATCATCACATACAAACCATTTTACCAAAAAGAAAACACACAGAATGACACATTGCCTAGTCCTGATGTTTCATTCAGTGTCTCTGTATTCATTGTGGTTCAATGTGTGTTGCGTTCAGGAACTGCGGGAGCGTGTTTTGAGGGGGAAATATCGCGTGCCCTTCTACATGTCTACAGACTGCGAGGGAATCCTGCGCCGCTTCCTGGTCCTCAACCCTTCCAAACGCTGCTCGCTGGATGTGAGGAAAAGACATTCATACAGCATGTTCACTTTGACCACATCAGAGTTTAAATACTGCGCCTCTCTTTCCTCACCAGCAAATAATGAAAGACAAGTGGATTAATATCGGCTTTGAAGGCGAGGATCTAGTGCCCCACACAGAGCCTGAGGAGGACCTGAACAACACCAGCCGCATCGGTGAGAAACACACCTTTATTTATTTATTTACCCTAATCATTGATGACAACTTGATTTACTGATTGCTGCAGAAACAGTCAGTTAGGATGAGCTGGGAACGTCTGGCTGAGTCTCACTGACACTTATGGAGGTTTTTTAATTGGGTTAGGGGTTATCAGTGGAAAAGCTTATGCCTGAGATCTGGCATATTGCATCAACCAAAGTTTCAATAATAATTTAGTGACATAAAACGTGAGATAAGATCTTTTTTTGTATTTGTCTTAACAGGTTCAGTGTTACATCCACAAAGGGGACAATGCAACGACACTAGTCACAGTCACCAATAGTTTAATGAGTAGATTCCCGTAAAGAAAAAGTTCAAATATGCAAACAAAATTGAAGAACCCGAAATAGAAAAGCTCAGCAGGAGCTGCTGTAACAAGCAAGTCACTTACATGGTGCTCCAAACGCGTTTAAATGGAACTAAACTTTTAGTTGGTGTTAAATTCAGGTTCTGATTATGAATCAAACACTGCAGGTTCACACTCATCAGGGCACTAGGAACTTTCATCATTTAACTAAAGGTTAACCTGTGTGATAATGCGTTTTTGACTTTTTGTAGAGCTTGAGAAATTACAATCTTTGTAATGTAATTTCTCTCGTTCCAGATGTGATGGTAGGGATGGGCTTCGCCAGAGAGGAGATCAGAGACTCGCTGTCTACTCAGAAATACAATGAGGTCACGGCCACATACCTGCTGCTGGGACGCAAGAACGACGTGAGTGTATAGGCTTTTTTTTTAAATGTTTGGGTTCAACTGCACAAAAGCAATCTACCTTGATACATAGCACAGCAGGTAGGGGGGAACAAGGGCACTGTGTTACTGTAGTTCTTAATAACTCTGGGTTGATGCACACAACAGAGGCATTCAAAACCTTATTATTCACCACCAGTTGTTTAGTCAATCTAGATATTTGTCATCTTTCTCTCTGTGTCTGTCTCTCAGACGGATGTCAGTGAGTCTCGCACGGCCAGCAGTCTGAGTCTAGCTCGAGTCCGACCCAGCACCATCACCAACGGTACCAGCAAACACACCACCTCCTCCTCTGCTGCACCATCCTCTTCCTCCTCTGCCCACAAGCCTCAGCGCAGCGCCTCCACCTACCACCGCCAGAGACGGCACTCTGACTTCTGTAAGGACTTCAGACACCACTTTGTGATTAGGATCATTCATTGAGACCTTATGAAAATCTGAGGGGAGTCCTCCTCACTGAGATCTTTTCTATCCCTCAGGTGGTCCAGCAGTTCCAGTGTCGACGCACCCCAAGCGGAGTCCTAGTGGTGTAGGCGAAGTGGCGGGGCTTAAGGAGGAGCGTCTGTCAAGCCGCAAGCCAAGCACGAGCACCATTGGCTCTCGGAGCATCCCGACCCCCTCCAGCCCCATGGTCAGCTCGGCTCATAACCCCAACAAAGCCGAGATACCCGACCGGCGCAAGGAAGTCACCACAACCCCAGTAAGACCCCAGGAGGAGGACCCTCAATCTGCCTAATCCCATTACCCAGATTACAGCACACTGACACAGACATGTGAAGACTGCACACATGAACACAGATTAGAAGAGTTTAACCACTGCATACATATGAATAAGGAACTGTACATTCACCCAGCACAGGGAATATGGAGATTATGGTTGTTCAGTAAGATTAACTGAAGCAGCCAGATTAACCTGAGATTAACTCTTTAATAGTCTGTAAGTGTCTGTCTGAGGCAAAACCTTCAAGGCAGGGAAGCCTTCATTGTTTCACTCAGTAGAGCTTTTCAAATAGTCCACATAAACTGTCAGGTAGGGCTGTGCGATTATGGCAAAAATCATAATCACGATTATTTGGGTCAATAATTGATATCACGATTATTAAATACGATTATTCATTGACTTTGAAAAAATCCATTTATTGAACTTTAAAACAAATGCAAATAATAATTTGAACAGTATCTTTTTAACTGTTGATTACCCTGAACGTATAATTCAACTGAAAAACCAATACAAAAATAAATGATACATTTAAATAAATAATAGCAAAATAATAAATACCAATAAACAAGATCAACAAATATTTTGGAGCGCACTTCCCCAAGCTACTAAACATATATAAATATGATAAATACAAATAAATGAGACCAAAATGTATTAGATCAAATATGTTGCAGTGCACGGTCACAACCTAGCAAAGCTAAATAATTGTTTTTTTCGATTATGTTGTTTTCGTAATTGTGGCAGGCCAAAATCGTAATTGCGATTAAAATACGATTAATTGCACAGCCCTACTGTCAGGCACAATGCACGTCTTGCTCTTTAGAAGCCCTCCTTTCATTGTTTCAGGTTTGAAACCACTCTCCCGTCACCACATCACATCACCAGGTCATTTATCCTGATTATTTCATTTGACTCTTTCTCCAGAACAACATTCCTGCCAGTGCCATGACTCGAAGGAACACTTATGTGTGTACAGACCGATCCAGCACCGACAGGAACACACTGTTGCAAAATGGCAAGGAAAACAGGTGAGAATATGGACTGGAGATGCTAAGATAAATGTCCTACCCGTCAGCAGGTCTCAGGGACTCTTAATGTGCTAGAACACAGAGTTCTTTTCTTTGGACCACGGCCCATGTCCATGAATCATATTTGTACGCGATACTGAAGATGTAAGAATCATCACAACACTTGAGAACACAGATTCACTCAGCATAGAGCAATTAGAGTCTGTTTGTGCTAGATCTACATTTCACCTCACATTGTATTCAATCTCTTTTAAGTGCGGGTGCACACAAAGGCTATTCATTACTAGCCTTAATTACATGTAGAAATAGCAAGGTAAACATGAACAAGATGGATTCATTACACAACACAGTTTGAACGTGTTGTATCTTATTTAACCCAATGCAGGAAACACATTCATATTTACATTGAATACAGTGGAACTGGTTCCTCTGGTCCAGCTCCTTGCACACAGGAGAGGATAAAGGGCTTCAATTGTGCATGAGTGGGTTAGTCAGTGTGTGTGTTTATACACCCAATATGATGCGTCTGTTGTTGTGACAGATGGTTGTCCGCCACCATCTCCCCTCTCTCCCTCTCTCACTATCTCACTTTCATTCTGTCTGACCTGTTTCCTCTGTCTCTTTATCACTCTGTACGTTTGCCTCCCAGAGGAAGAGCCATAGACTTTCTGTCTGTTCAAACATTTGTTTTGGGACTTGGGTTCTTCAGGTCGAGTAGGCAAATTCTTCCTTAGTTTTTTTACTTCGGTGATTTTTACTATTCTACAGTATTGCAATACTACATGGTACAAGTGTTTGTCTGCCGCCTTAACTGTTCCACCTGCTGAAAATCTGCTCAAAGACTGCAGGTCAACCTTTTGAGTAGGGATGGGAACGATTCATTGAATATTCGAATATTTTAAATTATTCAGGTATGAGAATATGAGTTATGAATATTTTTCTTTTGGAGGGGTGCCTAAGTTGATTACATATTATCAAATGGAATAATTCAATGTATACGACAGTGCCATAGCTTAGTGTGTTAGGTCTAAAGGTGTGTTTTGCTCCGCTCACCGGTCCCTCACAGCGGGCAGAGCTGCAGGTGCTGATCTCTCTCTCTCGCGTCCGGTTATACTTCACTCTCGTTTATGTCCAAATCCATCAGATCTAGCTAGTTCTAGCTAATGATATGGCTGCTGCCCCTCCCTACACGCAGATCACGCAGACTCAAACCTCATCTTATGCCCAAATTCCAGCTGAGAGGGTCTTCTCTACAGCTGGCCTGATTGTGAATCGCCCCCGCACCCGCCTCTCCCCTGAGCATGTAGACATGCTCATATTCTTCAAGAAGAATGAGTATTGAATAGCTGCATTCTGTGCATAGGCCCTGTTATAGGTTGTTGATCTCTGTTGTAATAGGGTTACGTTACCCTAACCCGTTATGTTGTTCGTGTATGATCCCTCTTTCATCACAAAACCAAGTTATGTTTTAAGCATGAAAGCTGTAGGCCTATAGCTGTCAACTGTTCAAACTGTGATCACCAGTTGTTTTTTTTTATAGGAAAAATTCGGGTTAATCGGTTAACCGTTTTTTGGGGGTCGAATATTCTAATATACATTTGCTTTCAAATTCCCATCCCTACTTTTGAGAGACTCTAGGAATCAGCCTACCATAACAACATATTAACATCATCTCTCACCCCAACATGTCCTGAACAGTGAATATGAACTGTTTCCATCAGAGGTACAGGGTCCCAGGATTTGATCAAGTTAGACTGAAGCACTCCTTTGTGCACAGCAATCCTAAAATAGAATACAGATTTAAATCCCAGGTCAAATGCACGTTAGAGGAAATGGAGCTGCTGTGATGCAAGGAAATGTCAGACTTCTGAAGATCTGACAATAAAGTATTATCGTAGCGTATATGGGAGGAGGGCTGGGGGCAGGTCAGGCAAACAATGTATCCAATGCCAACAAAGAATAGAAAAAAAGTATCGAACAGGAGGGAGGGCACCATGCCGACGTTACCCTCCACTTGCTCAGAGGCCTTGTCAATGTGATGCCATGCCAGAGTGGCTGATGGGAACACGTGCATGGACACACACAGTCCCATAAAAGGGGACATGGAAAGGGTGTGATCTATAATGGCAACAGGATTACAATGCACTGATTATGTAAACAACAGCGTGTGTGTGAGTTACTGTGTGTGTGTGACTGATCGTACATTGTTTGTACGACCCACATTTCCATCCATTTATTAAAAACACTGTTGGGTGTTCAAGTCCATGAAATGATACGCAGACAGTAATCTTTGATGACTTTGGAAGTGATCTTATACAGAGACAGTGTAGTTGCAGATAGTAAAACGCTTCATAAAGCTGTGGACTAATGGTTATAAAAGAGTTTAAATGTTATAATAAGTAAAGACTATAGTTATTCTAAATGCTTGTCATCGGTGCCACCGAGTGCAACTGAGACGCAATCATGCAGGTTCACAACAAGTGGCTGGTGCTCAGAAAACTCTAATGCTTTTGTCCACAAACACCACCAAAAAGAAAAGTTCCTTGTAGTAATTGTATTAGATTTGCCCTTTTTTTGGCAGTTATTTTTATATACATACTGTTAAGCTCTCAATTTAATTTAATTATACTTTTATCTTTACCTAGAAATAACAATAAACCCTTAAATATAAATGTGACTACAGGTGTGACAGGGTTTCTTTGAAGGTCCAATGCAGTAGGACTGGCAATAACCAGAATCAGAATCCTTTACTCGTCCCACAGAGGAGATATATACATAGTTACGGCAAGTAAAGAGCCAAAGGTAGCTGGATATACTTTAAGAAGCATGTATAAAATATTAAAGATACAATTAGAAACTACACAATTTAAAATGTACAAAATACACATCCAGTCCCAGTAACAGTTGTGAGATAGCAGCTAGATGATAATATTACATTAAACATTAAACACACCACAAAGTTTCACTCTGGAGAGGCTTAACCCTACTATTCAGGTTTGTCAAGTAAATGATTTGTTGCCATGACGTTGCTTCACCAATACAGGTATACATTTCAAGCGGAAATCTCAGGAGTTCTCGGGAAAGTTTCTGTCCCTTTCTACCATTTTCTTCCCTTCTTTTGTACATGTTCAGCCTCTCACCCTCCTCGTCTCCTCTCGCCATTCTTTCAGTCTTCATTACTCAGACACCCCCAACCCCCCACCCGTCCCCTGTGTGCCCCCCGCAGTGAACCGCAGCTCATATTGACGTTAAACGATTTTGCTCTGCAGCGGCTGCGCTTCAACTTAACTCGTTGAATGGCTCTGCCCCACTTGAACCTTGTGTGTGGGAGTTATCTAGAGCGTTATGAAAAGCAGCCTCAGGCCACCAGCCACAGAGTGAGGGTGGAGAGGTGTGTGTGCGTGTGTGTGTCAAAGTGTACGTGTAAGGGTATCTAAGGGGGGGGGGGGGTGCAAAATGAGAGATCTCAGTTGGAGACCACAAAGAGCATTTTGGGCCAATTTTAGATTAGGACTAACTGTTATGATGAAGAGCAGATGGCTCATTCACTGTTCATGCACAGTTCTGAACAAGTGACCTCGGTTGAAGGGGATAGAAGTATTGAAGATCTTAAATGTACTTGATTGTTAACGCTTTAATGAAAAGGTTATGCAGTTCCTGTGCTGTTCTTGCAAATTCAAATGATTGTTATAGCAACTACCACTCATTGGTTTTTCTCTCCCTCCAGCTCCATATCCCACCGCCTGCCCCCCTCCTCCCCCTCCACCCACAGCATCGCCGGGGCCTCCGGGGTCTCGTCCTCCACGCCCTCCTCCCGCCTCTCCAGGGGCTCCACGGTGAGGAGCACTTTCCACGGGGGGCAGATCAGAGACCGCCGCCCTCCCTCCCATGCTCCCCCTGCTTCCCCAATGCCATCCCATGATGCCAGCCCCCTGCCCCACACCAGGACCCGGACCACCTCCACCCTGCTCAGCAAACTCACCTCCAAGCTGACCCGCAGGTAAGGGGAGAAGCCGGGAGAAGAGGAAGGGGAGGAAAGGATAGAAGGTTATACGAGTTGAATTGTGTTCAGAGGTGTGACTTTAAGTCAAACAGGAAGACATGAAATGATAACAGATAGAATAATATCTAACAGCAGGATTGTAAATGTTGGATTGCTGCTAACCCTTCACGTGGTGGAGTGAGACTGTCAACAGTGTAACTCTTTTGCTCTGAACGTGTACATAAAGATCATTGAGCTAACCTTGCTGCCTCTCTCCGTCTCTTCCTTAACCAGCACTAACCTGCCAGCCTCTCTTCTCTCCTGATGCAGCTTCACAGGCGTCAGGCCTGGGTCTCATAGTGTGTCAACATGTTTGTGTTACCTGATATTACCACCTGCTCCATTTACTATTAAAAATGTGTCCACCTCATCACATTGAAAACAACAAATGTTATAATTGTGAAATAGTTCATATGTGATGATATATACTAAAGCTTATGCCTTAATTAGTGAAAACACATTTTGGCATTATGATTTAAGATGGGATGAAACCGTAGATTCTGACCCTTTTCATGTTGTTTCCCTTAGCAACAATAACACACAACGCAGACAACTAGTGGATTTAAATACAAACTCATTTAGTTGGGGGGTTTATGATCAAGGATGGTCATTCCTGATGGTTATATTTGAATAAGGAGAATGGGCAACACTAAGTGAATGTTAAAAAAGAGTGTGTGACAAATAAAGAGAGATATATAAAAATGAATGTCCCTAAATGTGGGACTCAATAGTAGTTTCATCCTGCACTATTGGAAATGACTGTAAGCCCTTTCTTATCTAAGCAGTTAGAAATTATCTTCAGTTACGGAAAATTGTTAAAATCTCATAGTTGAGCTGAACTTCTGTCATAGCTTTTTCCCCTGATACAAACAAACATTCAGCTATAAGACCCAGGTCTGCTGTTCAGGAGACATACTGTCTTCTTCTCTGCTGCTTACCGTTGCTTTATCTGTTGGTTTGTTTGATTCTTTAACAACTGTTCTTTTCCTTGCCAGTCACCTGCCAATCTGTTATCCTGAACTACAGTACACAACGTTTGATACTGCCTCTTCTACCTGTGCTTCTTACTGTCTGGCAGCTCTATTTTGTCTCCTCCTCACTTGCTTTCTCTTTTGTTCCATGTGTCTCTGACTTTCTGCTGTTAATTTCCCTTTTTTTCCATTCCTCTCATCTTCTCGTCATCTCCTTCTCTTCTTCCTCTTCCTCCTAGGGTCACTATTGACCCTTCTAAACGTCAGAGCTCAAACAAGTCCATGTCGGGCTGCACCCTCCCACAGGGGACAAAAACAGTTAGTAAGTCTTCCTTTCCCATGTTTTCTGGCTGCTTCTGTCTGTCTGACTGTCTGTCTGACTGTCTGTCTGACTGTCTGTCTGACTGTCTGTCTGACTGTCTGTATGCTTGCCAGTGGCCCTGTCCCCCCCCTCATCACTGTCTGTGAGTTTAGTTACACAAACATTCATCTGAGGCACAGCTTCTCTGCAGGCAGCAGTTTATTCAGGCAGATAACTTCAACCTGCTGAAAAGACATCTGTACTGATGTGAACTCCTTTTGATTTCCACATGAAGCTTTGTGATCAGAAGTTATTTCCTCAAAAATGTTTGTTCGATCAAGAGGAGATTCCATGGAATGCTCTTAACATCCCGATAGCAATGAATATCTTAAGTGCTTTGACAAAAAATCCATAAAAAAATGTCATCTGTGGAAGCCGTAGTACTGTAAAAAGCACGACCAATCATTTTAGTCGGCCCGGCTAAAATAACTGGATGGCCTACCTGCCTGTCAGCCTTCCATCTGTGCACAAACTTATCTCGTGCCCTCATTGGTCATGTGCGCGTTCGTGTGTGTTGGAGGAGGGGCTCTATAAGGAAGTGGCAGATTTTCTCCGGTTGTGTATTTTCAAATTCTAGCGATCTCGAGCCGGTTTCTCAAACTTACCTACCCCACCTTTAATAAAATATGGACGATATAAATCAAATATTTTATCACAGTATATATTTTTATTAGGGCTGTCAGTCGATTAAAATATTTAATCGCGATTAATCGGATGATGTCCATAGTTAATCGCGATTAATCGCAAATTAATCGCACATTTTTTATCTGTTCTAAATGTACCTTAGAGGAATATTTTTCAAGTTTTTAATACTCTTATCAACATATGAGTGGACAAATATGCTTTATGCAAATGTTTGTTTATTATCATTTGAACAATGACAAATATTCTCCTGAATATTTTCAATACAACAACCTGGAACCTCTCCTCTGTCTTCATAACAGTCAAAGCATGAGACTGAAGTTCCCACTGTGCGTCAAAATAATGCGCTGTGATGTGCAGTCGACACGTTGGATGCAATCCGAATGATCTAACGCAGCCCCTCGTCCTCCACAATGTCAAGCTGTAGCCACCCATTTAGCTATCGCTGTTGTTGTCCAGGCGTCTCCCCGGCAAACTTTCAAGCGTGGTCTGCTGCAAGCGATCGGCAGGAGCGGGGCTGTCAGCATCAGCTGTGAGCTTGGCTTGCTGTTTAAAACACCTTTTTTTGTATCCATATCTCTCACTAGAATCTCCCACCATCCAACGAACAACAACAAGCCTTTGGGTTCTGAAACTACGGGGCGGGCCGAGGACAAAAACACATGCGTTAATCGCACGTTAAAATAATTAGTGGCATTAAAAAAAAAATTGCGTTAACTTGACAGCCCTAATTTTTTTTAATCACAGTGATATTATCTCTATATATTGCTAATCTATTGAATACAATAACATCAATATCACTTTAGAGGTTGCCAGGGACGATGAATGGAATCATCCCGAACACATGGAGCTAAGTGGTGCTGACGTGGAAGACGAGCATTCTCCTTTATAGCCTTAGGTTTTTATTTCTGCTGATTACATTTACGCTTCAGGTGGTTTTCATTAGTGATCTTTTTTTCTGCGATAATCCAAAATCCAATGTAGGAATCCCACTGGCTTTTTGTGGAGTTAACCAGGGCAGTGCTCATTTCCGGCTCGGCCTTCAATCATAACTCTATCACAGTCGTTATACAGAATACTTTGAAGGTTATACTCGCCTTATGATTGAAGGATGATGGAACCTGGACTGGCCCATTTATCTTATTCTGGAGATTCTGGGACTGAGGTCCCCAGAGTTCACCTCTGTTTCTTCCTGGAGAGCAGCTCTACCTCAACTCTGGATGTTAATGTGACTAAAGCTCTAATCAGCAGCTGTCTGTCTGAGTGTGTGTCTGTCTGAGTGTGTGTCTGTCTGAGTGTGTGTCTGAGTGTGTGTCTGTCTGAGTGTGTGTGTGTCTGAGTGTGTGTCTGTCTGAGTGTGTGTCTGTCTGGACTGCATGTTCTCTGCTGGCTGTATCTTCCATTCCCTGCCAACAATAACACAGAACCACATCGCTTCTCTCGGGCAACTAGAAGACAGTCAATTTGCATATGAGCGTTTTCTCACACTCCAATGCTCACAACTCATTTTTAAAATAGACATCCCTATGAAGATGTTTGTGTGTTTCCTGCAGTTTATTGCAACCGAACTGAACTAGTCTGCATCATGAAATGAGAACCATATGTTTGCCAAGGCTGTTAAAGCAGCAGTCCTACAGCGATGTGCATCCCACATCGGGGGGGGGGGGGATTACAAGGCAGAGGTAAGGGGTTAAGGATGAAGAGAAGTCATAAAGTGTAAATACTTCATCATAAAATAGTACATTTTTTAGTGCATTGTGTGTAGTCAGGTTGTACGACAATGATTCTTTTATTTTTCATCAATCTGTCAATAACGTCATGATGAATAATTGGTCTATAGAAAATATAGAAAAATAAATCTAAAAAAAAGAATGAACTACTACAATGTCTGGAACATTATTCTATTCATTATTCTTATGATATGTTTTTTGACTAATATATGATCAGGCTGGGTTTCCTGTTATGATATACAGTATGTCTATTTGTAGACGGTCATATAGACAACATTGATTACATGTTTTATGTGAACAGATTTCATAGAACTGTATTAGGTTAGTTGAAAGCAATAATACTACGTTTAAATACTTAATATTATTCATATTATGTCTATATTGTTAACTAACCATATAATACTTTTAATTAAAGTCAATGTTTAGGTTTTTAGCTCAGGCTTAGGGTGGTGAATAGGAAGACAGGTGAACTGAGACTATAGTTTATAGTAGTGACAATACAAAGAAGAAATAGAGAGAAAATGCTAAAGCTTTAGTTGCAAAGATGTGTGTGTGTGTGTGTGCAAAAGGTATGGGTAACCACGGGTTACCCTGCATCATTGTAGCTTCCTACCTGTGACAGTACAAGAACAGAACATGTGTGAGCCTCGGCAGAATGCTACCAGCCGGCAGCAGTCATCCCACTGACCCAGCGTCACAGCCGTTTAAATCAGGATTAGTTATGCAACCAGGATTGATCCTTTTCTTAAACAGGGATCTTCACAGCTCTCGCTGAGATACGAGCAGATTGTTCTGTTCCTCTGCTGCTAGCTTCTCTCACTCTGTCTCTCTGCTCTTCGTTCTCTCATTCTCTCACTTTCAGCCGTCCTCTCTCAGCTCAGATAATCCCTAACTCAATGCAGTGTGAGAGAATAGAGGCGAGTCTGCACTACATACTCAGATAGATTTCCCCATATGTATTCTGTCTTAAAGATGTGATACCACTAGTCTCGCTCAGGGTCACCTTAGCATCCGTTTCCTTACTTTCTTGACCCAGTCAAAAAAAGAAAAGCTCATTTTCTAAAATGTAACACAATCAATTCTTATTTCCCAAAACATTTACTTTGGAGAACAGGAATATATTGATATAGCTTTTAAAAATATTTGCGTTACTAGTCAAATATTACCAACAGATTTGCTGTAATGAAGTTTATTATTCCTGATCCGACAGGAATTACCATCAATATGTTTGTTGGGTAATTATTAGTATTTATAAACATTTCTAAATGATAATTCTCATCCCATTGATTGATTGTGTGGATTATCAGGGATTTCTCCATGTACTTTAAGAGAGGTGAGAGTACAAACATCTGAGCCAGGGTCACATTAGAGACACTTTCACTAAATCCTTCTGTTTTGACATATATTTTACTGCTCAATTCTCCAGACAACCACCAGTTCCTGGAAAAGAGATCAGGTTGCCAGGTTGGTAGGAAAGAATTAGAGTTGAGCTACAGAAAACAGCAACAGTGGCCCCTGGTGGCCATACAAGGGAAGTGCAATAAGAAGCCTCAAACTCCTGTAGCTGCTGTCTGCTGGGTCGAGTAAATAGTTCTTTAGAAGAAACTTGCATACAAACCTACATGTGGCATGAGCTCATACATCTGGATGTGTGTGGCATGTGAAATGCAATATTCCATTCTGTAAGAGTGTCAGGAATGTGTGCTAACATCAGGCTGGTCTGTTCAAATCTGGTCACCCTCAGGGTCCTGAAGGTAGAAACTTGAGGAAGCAGGGGACCACATCATAAAGGATTCAACAACAATTGTATTTTAAGCATAGTAGAAGGTTACATTTTTCAATGTTGCCATCATTGTACCATAAACCATACCAAATAAAAACATGTGTCAGTCAAAACGCATCAAACCAAAGTTGTGAAATGCAGGTACAAAGACTAAATAAAACCCTTAATCTGATGTCAAAAATATTTTCTGATCAGACAAAGAGCTAAATTGTACAGTATTATATTTATTTTACACGTGGCAAAACTGTGCATCATACTGTATCAGACATGACTAGCTGATACTGTATATCAGTGTGTTCCTATCAGAAGGAAGAAATAAAGTTCTGGAGAGAGGCGCTGGAGCATCTCAAACCATGCCTGTACAGACGTTAGTCCCACATCAACATCTTAGCTTGGACAGCATTACAACCATGTACAGACAATAGTAGAATGCTTGTTATATTTTTCTAAATGAGTCTGGTGTCCTCTTTTAACACACAATGTGTGCTTTAATAAGCATCAGATTTGTACGCATGCGAGTCTGGCCACCGCTCATTTGTTTGTTGGTGACTTTGACATTTTGTTGTTTCACATTCATCTGATGTTCCTGTGTGGTGAGTGTAGTTGTGAGGACCCATCTGTGGTTTGAAGACACGTTGTTGTGTTTTGTGTTGTGATTGTTGTGGATGACTGATGTAGCCATGCAGCTATTGCATTAAACAGGAAGGGGGGAGAGGTTGATGTCAACAGGCCTATTGATTCCTAACGGATACGTTTTTCTTCCTCTTGAGGGTCACAGACGAACCTGAGAGAATCAGCAGATCTCCGGTCACAAGGTGAGTCCACATTTACGCTTTGTCCGACACCAACCAGAATGCAACCATAGAATACAATTACATTCTCAGTGTTACAGGCAGCCAACTCTTCTTCATTTATGAATCAATCTACATTAAGTCTAAATAAGATATAATTCCGTTTTGAACAGTCTGTGATAAGATGAATATTGTGATAACATATATTACAGTTGATTATTTGCAACGGCAAATTATGAAGTTGGTCCATATCTATTTCTCTATTAAGACAATTTTCAGCACATTTCTGATTTCTTAGGCCCAATCCCAAACCACACCCTACCCCTACACACTCCCCCTCTGTGACGGAGTGAACTCCGTGGAGTGACACTCGCAGCTCAACGAGGCTCCCTCCTGTCAGATGGAGGGACTAAATACAGCGGCAAGCTTTGGGACAAACTCCCCTCTCTCCGGCAGAAACAGGAAATGCCGTAACTGTATGTAACAACGGTTTCAAATCAGCATCTCTTAGACAAAAAATAAAAATTAATAACTAAAATAAAACTCCAAACATCTTTAATTGTGTTACTTTTTTGTAAAGCTCTTTTAGTTTTAAACCTGATGTTTTTAAGCTTCTTAGTTTTTGCAACAGTCTGTAAATATACACAACTCTATAATGAAATGCACACATTGACCTTTTTCTAGACTAAACACAGGTATATGATCCTAAGGTGATGAGGTTATCATGACGTTGTTAACATGGCAGTTTATCAGTGGATGTTTGGAACTACTTGTAAACAGCGTGTTTCCTGACGGACACACACAGCGTGACTCCGGTCAGGTAGAGACCGGTCTCCAGTCAGCACCGATGCAGACTCGCTGTTTGAGGGCTTGATAGCCCACTCCCCCTCCACACCGCTCCACACTCGTTGGTTTGGAACAGCACTTAATGTGGCCGACCCTCCGCGCAAACGGAGGGGTAGTGTGTAGGGGTAGGGTGTAGGGCGTGGTTTGGGATTGGGCCTTAGTTTCCATCTGTGACTTAACTTTGACACATTTCCTGACAGTATCGCTAGCCTCCTTAAAAAAACACACGGCACAATCTAGTATTTAATTAAAAAGCAGTTGTTACCAAAAAGTAAAATGTGTCTTTGATAAGTAGTTTATATAAGAATAGATTGAGTATTGACACAATGTATCCACAAAAACATCGTTATACTTTCCACTGTTCAGACTTAGTAAAGCTAAGCTAAGCTAACAAGCTGCCGGCTCCAGCTACTAACCATACAGACATTAGAGAGTTATCAATAAGCAAGAAATGTTCAATGTTCCAAAAACCTTTTAATCTCTACCCGACTGTTAGTCAAAAGGCAGATCAACTTGACTTTAATTGTAAAAATAATGTAAGGATATACTTTGTACAGAGAACTGTGTGTCCGTGCTGCAGCTGTAAATGTTTTCGTTCTTAGGTGTGACATTGTGACGTCAGAAGTCTACATGGAGTCACACTAGGTCATGTGATCCAACATGGGAACTGGATTACGTTTACAGCACAGATCCTGAATCATACTACCTTTTTTTGTGGTGATTTTTTTGTCTTGCATGTGGTGAGGACACAAGGAAATACAGTCAAAAGGATTGGGACGTGTTCCCTCAGAGAACGCACACTGTGTGGTCAACACCGTTGCACTTTGTCATTGCTCAGATCTCTCTGTACTAGATCATATAAAAGCAAGAAACATCAACTTCATATCATTGCTATAAAAGGATAATCATCATTACCCATTAGCAAGAAAGACAGATTGAAGACAAAAGTCTGATTATGATTATTAAATGTGTGTTCTCATTACAATTCAAAGTTATAACTATTTAATTTTGCTTGGATTTTCAAGCTTTACTACACAAGATATCCTACACAATAATGTCAAGAAAGCCAGTATCCAGCTATGGCTAGAGACAGTGATTAGACACAATACTGGAACAGAAATGAACCACATTGTTCAATTACTCAGTTATTTAATTTTCATGTATGGGTTACATGCAACAACAGTATTAACAAAACCTACATTGGTATTGCTTTTGGACTCTCATCTTATTAATACTATATGTTTTCAGGGTTATCAGTATCATTATGTGACTAAAGGTGTGTGTAATTCCTCTGGGCCTCAGCTGCTTCAGCCCAGTCTCAGGTTACTGTCAGCAGGTAAACAGCAGCAGGCTAGCAGAAGCTAACAGACTGTGGGTCCTTGGTGGTAGATGATCCTTTTGATTTCAAGAGAAATAAATATATGATGTCTATAATGCATTAAAACACACTTGAAATACATTCATAATCCTATAAGTCATTATTATAAGGCATTATGACTATTGCTGAGGGCTTATGAATACATTTATATCTTGCTATAAGCAATAATAACGCATTACAGGAATGTTTTTAATGCGTTATAGACATGTGCGTAACTGTCACCTGAATTAAATGATCTTTTATTGTGTTAATCAGCAGCTCAGTGCCTGTCTCTTTACCTCCATTTTATTTTATTCTCCATTAGTGTTTGGTGTGATTTTATGAATGTATGTGTGTCATTGGTTCTATATATTTCATTAATCATATTTAAGAACAATATACATGTATTATTAATCCTAGATTGCTCTATATCCCTCACATGAAAAATACATTTTAACGTTGGTTGAATAGAATAAAAAATAGATTTGAGACTAGAGAATACCTCTCTGTGACCTAGATTTCTATGTAGAGGTATACAAATCCAATACTGTATGATATTAATCTATTTTCTTCTCCTCCCCGTTTCCCTTACCACTCATACATTCACACAACCATACACTTCCATCACTTATTCATCTCACTTACACTGAAACCCCATTCATTCCCATTCGTCCTGCACTCCTGCTCCTTCATATCTGATCTCCTGCTCCCCACACCCCACACCCCTAACCCCTCACCATCCACCCTTCCTGCTGTTATTCCCACACCACCCTCTCCCTCTCTTTTTCTTTTAAATCTTCCTACATTTCCCTTTCCATCCTCTATTTTCGTCCTCCCAACACCCCCCCCACTTCCAGTCGCCATCTATCTGGGCATCAGAAGGCGGCAGAGCCCCGGACCCCCCGAAGCGGATGGGATGTGAGGGTGCGGAGCCCTCGGGACCCGGCCGAGGTGGTGCTGGCGCTGCGTGAGGCGGCACAGGGCTGCGGCTGCCAGGTGCACCTGGCAGGGCCCTTCCTGCTGTCCTGCACCCACGGAGCAGCCGGCGCCCGCGTGGCCTTCGAGGCCGAGGTCTGCCAGCTGCCCAGCGGGCTGGGCCAGAGCAGCGGGGTGAGGTTCAAGCGCCTGTGGGGGGCGCCGCTAGCCTTCAGAGACATCGCCACCAAAGTGTCCAAAGAGCTGGAGCTCTGAGGGCGGCTGGAGGCGGGGCGGACCAATCACAGACTGGACAGCTTGATACAAGAGGAGGGATGAAGAGGAAGGTCGCCTCCTCCTCTTCATCCCTGGGCTCTGCCTCATCTGATGCAGCTAGAGATGCCTCGCCTCCGCCAAAGACCCTCTTCCTCTGATGCCACCAATCACAGCCAGACCAACGGATGCACGGACAGACCGCCATCGGCAGACTTATGGTGACCTTTGACATTGGAGCTGTCAGTGACCTATGACCCCTGCTTGAAACACACCTCCATATTATGTGAGCCCATGGAGTCTTTTTATTTTTTATCACAACTTCATGTTTGATGTAAGGATGTTGCTGAGAATGATGGAGACTGATTATTGTTGACATGTTATTCCTATTGTACCATATTTGTTGTCATCATTCCTTTTTAAAGAGCTGCTATTTAAAGAGATGTTTTAATGTTTGTGTTTTAAGTTTATCTTCCCTCTCTAATGCTTTTTTTAAATGGGCAGAAGTTAGACATCTGTTGTCGGGAGCAGACGTGACATTTCAGAAGTGAGGCCGCAGTCCCACCACCGGCCTCTAGAGGGAGACATGCAGAAATGCAGAGACTTGTGACGGATTGAATGAAGCGTCACAGCCTGTCTGCCCATACTTTACTCCCAGTTAGTGCTCAGTTGGGATTTGGATGTTAGTTCCCCCCCTCTCTGGTCCAGTGCTGCCTCTCTGCCTGCCCCACTCTGATGGAGCTGCTGACAGAGGAGCCGAGCAGGACCCCTCTGAAGTGTTGTTCTTGATAAACTGATCACTATGCTCTGCCATTTACATATATTTTACTTTGCCCAATGTTTTGTCCCATGCTACCTTTATTAACAAGCAAAACTCCTCTAGAAAAATGTAAAATGACACAACATGTTTTTGGTTTAAAGTGCAATGTGTGATTGGTGTTCTTATTACACAAGTAGGCACTGTTATTGTTCTTATTTGACCTACACAGGGGAAACCGATAGTCACTTACATTATTTTCCACTCAGCAGGTTTAGTCAATTTAGTTTAGATAGGCAGGTTTTGATCAGCCAATCAGAAAGCATTATTCTGAGCCCAATATGTGCTAATTTAAAGGTTATTTAAATGAAATGCAGTCATTTTTAAATGTAACTAATTAATTGTCTACCCATTAAAAAAATTTTAAAAGAAATTCCATGCACATATCCTAATGCTTTCACTGAGTGCCAAGACAACTAATAATAATAATTGTGAGCCACAAATGGTTAAAACATTTATTAATTACTGGTCAAATAGCATGGCTTTTTTCTTGACTGGTTCCAGTTTTTATCTGTTGAGATAGAACTGTTACAAAAAAATCACTTTAATTTTAAACAAATCATTCAGAAAGCCACCGCCATATCTTTCCTCAAATGTAGTGCAATACAGCCACACACCTGAGAACCCATGGAATAAGCCTCCACTCAACAGGGCTCCTTGTTTAAAAACTTGTTTTATATTGCTGATATGTTGTTCAAATTCATTGAGCACTTTTTTTTTGCCAGGAATGCATTGTACTGCAATGTCTGTTTTTATTCATTTCACATCGTCTCACACATATAATGCCCATGATTGACATTCTGAATGTCTTTCTTCCTTGATGCACGTTTTGGCATCTCACTTCTCCCAGTGGATCAGCTGCAGGGACAGCTTCAGGATTCAGTGATGTGACAAAGTCAGATAATGAAACTGAGGTAAAGATAAATCACTATGGCCATACAAAAATTGTTTAGTTCTTAACCTCAGCCACGCTACAAACTATAAACCTTCGTCGACCAATCAGGCTGCAGCACTGAGATCAAATTCCAGTATGACTGTACGAGATGTTTGACTGTTAATCAATCAGTTTCCTGCCGAAAATAAATGAAAAGCATGCAACGTGATGAAGGTTTAAGATAAGACCTTTGAAAAATAAGATGTTCTTTTATAAAAACACTTTGCTACCAAGATTCAACAAAAATACACAGAGTGCTTCATTGATCATACTCTCACACTGACGACTCCAAAACCCAAAGGTTGTTGTACTTGTATTGTTGTTCTACAATGCCAAGCAATGGTAACTTGTACTTTTAAAGTATGCAGCACCTAACAAAACACTGATCAGTGACAGGAAGAGCTGGAGGAACAGCAGTTTGGATCTTTACGGCTGTGAGGTCTACAGGAATGTCAAATGGGAGGTTGTAGCTGCAGCAGGTATCCATGACTGTCTGAAAATGTGAAGCTGTGATTTAGGGCTAGATATTTTATTTTTCTTCTTTCTGGTCCAACTGGGCTTCACTCTGAACCTGTTCTGTAGATGCAGTTAGAGCCGTGCTTTAAGGCTAGAGTTCTGTTGTATAGTGTGTTTGAAGCCGTGCTGTTATCAAGAAAACTTAACTAATGGGCTGAAATATGGAAAGGATCGACCTGCAATCCTGCATGTCTCCTAGGAAATAATGTGTGACACAAAAATAAAGACTTTCAACCTCTATCATTTCAGTGTCTATCTTATTTCTTCTGTTATGGATTTTGTCTCCAATGTGGCATTCCACCAGGGTCTTTGTGGTATCACTGAGTAGGCTACGGTGTATGTGTGAGGGAAGTTCAAAGCTAATCTTACATGTATGTACATATCACCGTCAGTCAGTTTGGAGTAGTTGCAAGATATTCATGTATGTTTCAAATACAATAAAACATGAGAGAGAAAGTTTGATTGTTACATGGGGCATAGTTTAATCATCCAGTTATAATTCACAACCAAAAAAAATTAGTTTTAGGTACGCACACATAGCCATGACCAGACTATACATGGATTGATCCCAGGATGTTACAGAGAAGATGTGGAGAGGTTAAAGTGACAGGAAGTTGGGAGTGGGTTATCAGAAGTAAGAAAGGAAGTAGCAGATGGAAAAGAAGTAGGCAGAAAGTAGCCAGTTGGCCGAAACCAGTAAGATAACTTTACAACGAGGCTACCCGTTTTACAAAGTAAAACAAATTCCACAGACAGTCAGTGAGTAATTGGTTGTCTGTTCCGCTTTACTTCTGGGCGGGGATCATGCCATCGATAGCCTCTCCCTTCTCCAGCTTCTTCTCCATCTCAACCATCAGCTTGACACCATCAACCACCATCTGCACCTGGGCCACCTCGGAGGAGCCCAGACGGTCAGCGTTGGAGATGTCGAACACACCACCCACGGAGGCTGTGTCCACACCACCTGCGGGAGAAGAAGGAAGAGGAATGAGGCCTCTGTCCAACACATGGAAACATACCCTCTCCAGCCCCTGAGACTTGTTGAAACTTTGTAAGAAGGTTTCTTTAATGTATGTTCAACCAACATTTCTCATTAATTCAATCGTCAGATTCCTTGAGCTTTGGCTACACCCTGAAGATTTATCTCTGAATATGTAGGCGCATACGATCCATTAGGTAAGCGAGCGGGAAGATAACATCGCTATTAACCGAAACACAAAGAGCAAATCTTACAGAATAATGCATTTCAGGAAGCCTATAAGGTTTCTAATCCTAAAACAAACTATGGCAGCCTTTTCAATAGCAATTTGTAAAGATTACATAATGAATGAAAAATCTTATTTTAATCCATGTTTTTTCATTTCTATAACTTTTTGTTCATAAAAAAATGCTACTTTTGCTGATAGCTTTATCTTTCTCATCCAACTGTGTTAAATTTAAGCCTGCAGCCTCTCTGAAAATATTAGCTTGTAAACTCTGAGACTGAACCATTTCAATTTCATTTTGTTGGTACCTGTTCCACGCTTCTGCAGACGCAGTCTGGTCAGGATCTCCTCGAACTTGGCGTGTGTGCTGAGCTTGGGCAACTTGACGTGCACTCCACCGCGCAGGCCGGTTCCCAGGTTGGAGGGGCAGGTCAGGATGTAGCCCAGATGCTCGTTCCACATGAAGCCATGGTTGTGCTTCTTGAAGATCCCCTCAATCTGACCAGTGTAGAGGATAAAGGGCATTAATAATGCATCATGTTTGAAATACAACCAGTCTGATGTAGCTGAATGCTAAACAGTCCTATCTATTAATAATGAAGAAAGAAAAACAGCAATGTAAGGTCTTTATGAAAATGTTTAAAATATACGATGCACATCATTTTAAATGGCTTTAACTCTTGCTCCAAGTTTAATTGTGCATATTTAATTGTCTGCTTGACTTTATTTAAATACAAAAATCTGTGATGTTTTGTGCATTACGTTCTGCAGACCAACGCAGAAGCGTCTGAAGACCTCCTTCATGTTGCCGCCCTGCTGCATGGAGATGACACGCAGATGATCCTCCTCGTTCACCCAGACCAGGAAGGTCTTGTTGTCGTTGTGCCTGGAGGAAGAAATCCAGCTCAGTTTTAATTTCCGTAGGACAATGATGGTGAAAGGTTTACCAAAGTGCCTCGCAGAATCTTGATGGACATTTCTAACATTTGTCCTGTAATCTGGATAATCTGAGCTACACAGTGGTGGATTTAAAGGACATCAACTTTAAAGGGCAGTTGTGCTGCAGCTTTACATACTGTGCTTAATTATTCATGACACACTTTAACAGATGTTTAAAAGCCGGAATAATCAGGATTTTGGGGTTTAGGGTGGTGAGACAAAAGAGACAGATGGTGTTAGTTTTAAAGGTTGGCTTGGGAATGGCAGATGGGAGCTCCAGAATGGGGTTTGTTTAGAGTTTGTATTTATGAGTTTACATAGTTTAACCTGTTTATCTGGGAATAAAGTTGAATTTGTTATACGTTTTTCTATTTCATTTCCATTATGTGTCTGAGTGTCTCTCACCAGATGCCTCTGCCGTCGGGCCAGTCACGGGCCATTCCGGCGCAGGTCAGCAGGGGAGACACGGGCTTGTCAAACAAGAAGTGATCGTTGATCAGCAGGTCCTGCTCGGCGTCGGTCATGCCGCTTAGGGGGTAGTACTTTCCCTTGAACTCACCATCCAGACTGGCCAGAGCTGAAAGAACCAAGGAAGGCACACAGGAAAAGGAGTCAGCCTCTGACAAATACATCTTGCCTTCTACAAACATTTGTGTAAGATTGATAGATTATTGTCATTAGGTTGACATTCACCCTCAATGGACAGCTTCTCAATGCCTCTGCGCTCGCCACGGCTGTTGTGAGGGGGCAGGGTGAATCCCTTGATGCTGCGGCCGGTACGCACGCGGCTGGACAGCACGTAGTTGGGGTCCAGGTCGTCACCTCCCTTAGAGAAAGGACAGACAAACACAATAGATACATTATTTTGATTGACTTGCACTTGTGTGAGGAACTGGACCTTATGAATGTTTTATGAGTAAATGTACTTATTATGTTGGCCAATGAACAGTGTCTGGAGTTATTCAACTCAATCATGCCTTGGTGCGGCCATAGAAGTAACCAGCAATTGGTTTTACAATCAACGAACTAAGAGTCATTCATTTGGTGTGGAAGCTGGTCAATAGGTATGTCTCCTTCCTTCTGATTTGATACAAATATATCTCTAACAATACCATCATGCAGGTCATGCAGCTCACCTTCAGGTTCTCGAAGTTCAGGTCGGTCGCATGCTTGTCGGTGGGCTTGTATCCACCATGACGGTCAGAGATGATGGGGTCCAGCAGCTCCTTGAAGGCTTCATAGGACTCCTCGTCACCAGCAACGCAACCAACAGTCATGATGAAGGGGTGACCTTTTGAACAAGAGGGAGGACAAGGGAGTTGGTAACAATGCTAGCTAGTTAGCTAGTTCAACTTTCAATATGTATAACTTTGTAGGAATATTGTTAGATCCTCTCACCCCTCTACCCCATTTGCTAACAAATTCTTGGATACCAAAAGACCTTACTAAAAAACATGCCAGAACTTTAGCCCCGAACCCTAAAGATTGAACAAAAGTCCTGTGTCACCTCAGAGGTAGTGATCAATGCTAGCATGGTGGGCTTCAGCAACAATCCATAATCAGTACATATTCACCCTGCATATAGTTGTTAATTCACTTCATTTATGTCTGTGAAAACAAAAACATTCTGGCATGTGTTAATGTCGATCCTGATTGCTGAATGTCGATGCTCCTTCTTACCAGGGTTGTCAACACCAGTCTGGATGACATCATCCACGGTGAAGCCGCTGGGGGTAGACTTTCCCCTCAGCTTGGCATAGATCTCCTTGGTCAGCACCTACAGCAGATGACACGCCGGTCAGTGTTTATACAGTCACATGATGTCTTTTAGTACATGCTGTGTTCTATGAAGTATCTCAGCACAATGATAACAATAAAGACACTGGTTGGTGTATTGCGGGTGAGTGTCCATTGAGCAGCAATATCAGAGTAGATGTTGTACCTTAGCCATATGGTTGTTGTGCAGGGACAGGTCGGGGAACTCCTCGTCCCCTGAGAACTTCATCTTGTAGTCGTTATGACAATTCTTCGCCATGGTTGCGATTCTTGCTCCACCTGAGAAGAGACACGAAAAAGAGAAGCGGACCTGTTATATTCCAGAATTGTGCTGTTCGTTACAATTTGTCCTGACTGCATTTATAGGCACTTTGTTCCCTTATTGTGTAGAAACAGAAGACTACTATAGAAACAGCCCTTCAAAAGGCAGGTTTCATTGTTTGACTATAATAGTGAATACCATATTTATTCTCTGGTATTTCTCCAAGTCTTTCAAGTGCCTTGTCTATGAATCTTCTTGTGAGGAGGAGACACCTTTTCATTCTGTCCTTCTGTCTCTACTTCACTGTCACGCTCTCCCTCTGCCCCCCCTGTCAGCTGTTCTGTCTACATGCTTTTCTTCCTGCAGCCCTCCCCTCAGACTGTCTCACCACCTGTCTCTCCCTCACAGCTGTGATTATAAATAGTGACGCCGTGCCCCCTCTTGCCATGCACATGATGATGAAGGATTTTCTCTTCTGTCTCACTGTTCAGCCTTAGAATAATGCAAACTTAGTGGTCGACCTACGCTGCAATACATGGAAGATAAAGTGGAAGATAAAATCCATTGGTTCTAAATAAATCGACTTTTTAAAGACCAAAAATAGCTCAAACACTCAATGCTTACAAATGGTTACTCTAAACTATATAGCCTTCTCCCATTTTTTTTGAGACATGGTTTGGTACAGTAATTGTAATTTGTCCTCCATTTTGATTGAACTTGAAATGCCTCTAAAATAAATAATTTCCACCCCAAAGAAATCACACAAAAATGATTAACACAAAGTGGAACTAATTTGAGTGAGTAGAACTGGAAGTTAACACAAATTACTTGGAAAAAAGTTATCATTTTGGAGTTGCAATCAACAGAGCTGCAGCTGCAGAATCAGTCAGAATATCTGATCTCTCTGGCCGAGGTGAGAATCCGTCAGTTGAGGTGCAGTTGATTGATGACACCTGGTGCGCTCAAAGGTCAAAGTGTTGCAGGCCTCACAGATGGCTGCACATGTTCCATGGCTAAATCAAGCGCTCCTAAACTATTCAAAGACACACCTCAGGTCTGCCCTGCCAGCATTAGCAACAGCAGACAGTCACAACTGTTTCAGTGACCCTTGATTGTTGTATACTAAACTAGCCTTTAAACTGCAGTATAGTGCTGTAGATAAAAAGCATCAAGTCTTTCAAAGAGAAGTTTCACTACAGTGTGCAGCGATAGAAGAACGATCAGAGTCATAATTATTAGTTTCCAGTTCAGGAAAAAATATGCAAAGCTTAACAGGAATCCCACACAGAAATGTGATCATAGAAAAATGCTTCTATGGCTCCAGGGTTCATCAATGGAGGAATCTGATTGACACATATCTGGTCAAAAAATGTTCCTCTATGATTTTGATAACGGGAGGTTTGCTCAGGGAGAGGTTTCTGTTCATTCTTTATATATAAATACCACCACAATCTTTCCATTGGATTGATCAAAAAGCTTGTTTACCTGCTTAGGAGAAAAGAAAGAAGTAACAGTCCCGGGATCAGATCCTGTTCACCAATTGTAGGGATGCCCAACTCTTCAACATGATGGGCTTTAGTATTTATACCTGGACCTCTGTTGCTATTGGCTCACTACACTCGGGGTCCCTTCATATGATTGGTTACAGGGGGGCTTCTATGCCCGGGTGAGTTTCTAAAAGGCAAGAGAACTTCACACAACACTCGAGACGAGAAGCAAGAAACAGCTGCAAACCAACCTTTCAACTCCTGCCTGCTCAGAGCTGCTGTCTGCAGGACAGAAGAGGTGGACAGCAGCCCATACACTCTATCAAACATATGCACTGTGGGTTTGTATTCACACATATCTGCAGTGCATGGATTAGCCAGTGTACTAACCTTGCAGACTGATTTAAATGAGAGTGACTGTAAATAAGGCTCACACCCTTTGCACAATGGCAACATAGGATCCAGAGTATGAATGTCATTGTCATTGAATGAATATACCAATCATTATGTCAAATGTCCAGTATTTACAGTATAATACAATTACATTAAAGAGAAGACGCATTTTAAAAATGTTAATTTGGAATCTTTGCTGTGTAGGGAGGTTTGCTTGCAGCTGGACAGTTAAAGAGCAGCAGGTGGCTGTGATGTACCTATTGTAGGCATGCATGCACAGTGTACTGCACTGAAAGTGTCCCCTATGGGTGGATGAGCAGAGTAACTGGAGTTGTATCTGTCATCAGATTAAGGAGGGAAAAAAACACTTGTCTTAGATAACATCATTACAATATTCATTACTGGTTGGATTTCATTGACCCCTCTAACTTGCCAATTTGTTACAAGTTTAAGTGTCATGCGAGTTTAAGGTGTGTGTTACAGCTCACTGTTTGGAATGTTAGTAAGTAATGCATGGTAACCGGCTGTCCAAACAGAAGACATGTGGCAAGCCAGGACGGCAAATGTTGATTCCAGAGTGTTTTTATATGTCTGTATCTAAATGTGTCATTATTTGTAAGTGCACAGCTTTCTCATCATGTCATGTGTATGTGTGTCTTGTGTATTCATATGTCATAATAAATATCCTGCCTGACAAGTTTGAGGTTGGGATCGCTTTTTATCCAATATACTGTATATGTCTTAGTCTGGGCTCACTGCAGGTTTTACTAGATCTGGCTCTCTTTGTCAGACTTTGAGTTCAGGTCTTTACTGTACAATTGCCAGCATCATTACCCCCCCTCTCCCCACTGGTAATGTGATATATGTCAGTAATCCAGCCACAGACAGATATTAAATCACACCCACATCATGTGACAGTAAGTATAAATTGTGGGGTGGAGCTGAGACTCTCTGTGACGCAGATAGCAGCCTCACATCAGATTCAGGTTTCCCTCAAACACAACAGTACAAGAGGTCAGAGGTTAATCATACAGTTTTCATGATAGCTTCCCTTAAAACTCTCTGGCTTTAAGCAACAGAGTCCAAAAATCATGTGACCTTTAATTTGTAATCATCTATTACTATCTCAACCCACCCCACACCTAAATTATTATTTGTTTTAAATAACTAGAGACCATCTTGCCGTTGGACCACACCAGCTGCAATGCTAAAACGGGCCAGGCCTGTAAAGTTTAGGGCCAATGACCCCACTTTCAAGCCCCTACTTCTGGCCCCCTAGCCCGGGACACGCCCATTTCGGGATTGTGCCTGCATTTTGATCTTAACTACACATCTGTAAAGTTTGTGGCTGCACACAAAATCTCTCCCCAGAATGACAGTGCAACACTTTACAGCAGAAATAAACATGTCTACAGCCTGCTGCTAAATACTGTTGGACAATTTAATATAACTCAGCCATTTTAATTATAGTAAGCCTTACATTTATGAATGATTAACAGGGTGTGGCCACTCTGAGTGACAGGTGGCTGCTGTCTCAGGTCCCCAGCTGTTTGCTGTCTGCTCTGTTGCATCACCTGGGTCTCCCTCAGCTCTGAGCTATTAGTAAGATGGTGGTGCCAGTGCTGCAGCCTCCCACTGAGCGTCACAGTTGCTCTTCAGAAAGCACATAAATACAGAGTTTGAGTATAGTTGCGTGTGTAGAGAAAAAGGGCGTTGGTTTGTGACAAAGTGTCTTGAAAAAAAGGCCAGCAGAACATCCAGGCTAAAGGGCATCAAAAGTTGGAGGGCACCTGCTTCAAGTCAGAGTCTGCCATTTTGATCAAATACACTTTTAGTCAAATTCAGAAAATGTATCCTCAAAGTTTGCTAGTTGTACGTTCTGTGTGTGCGCGCGGTAAAATAAAACAAAGGAACGTACGTCATACAGCCCCGGTTCTTTGAAAGGGAAACAAAGAAGCTCGGACTGAGACAACAACACTCCTTGAAAAGGACGGCATTTTTTTTTGTGCATAGGAGACAAAGGCATGGCAAATCTGGAGAGTGGGATTAGTTTTGGTGTCCTTCAAATATCAGTTTATATATTTTTCAGAATTGATGACTCCACCTTCAATGATCCCCAGGTGATTATTTCAAATAGTTAGTACTTTGTTTGGTGCACCACAGAGCTCTGTTCTATGCCTGATGGTACTTTTTATCTAATCTATCATCAGAATATCGGGCTACATGCTATGCTGATGATATTTCATTTATTACACGCCTTAGTTGAATACTTGTTTTTGATTGGTCAATTTGGACCTTTCAGAGGTTGGTAATACTCTCCATCACACCGCTGCTGAGGATAACATGGAGCTTATCTGAACATGGATGCTTAGAAGGGAGAAGGGACTATGTGCAGTCATATCAATCTGCAGAAAGACGTTTTTATGTCAGTAGAAGTAGTAGACAACTTACTTTAGTTTTCATCCATCGGAAAACACCATAGAATACTTATTAAACATTCACATCAATATTTGTGGAGAGCACAAAACTTGGATTTATGATGGGTAAACCAACCTTTACTGTTCCCAGAAAAGAAAAGAAATGAAAAGAAAAAGAGAACAAGAGAAGGAGAGCGGTTACAAGATGCTGGATGTCAGATAAATCAACAAAAGAAGACAGACAGGAAGTAAACATTAAAGGAAACAGAAGAAGAAGTGTCCATGCCAAGTTGCTTATTTGTCATTTCCTCACTCCTAGTTCGAAGCGGATGTTGTTCGGGTGCCATCTTAAGGAGCGTTCCATGGCGCTTATTTGTGCATGCAGGAGCGAGGATCGAGGAGCAAGGAGCGACCTCTGAGGAGCGATAGCAGAGAGACAGGAGGTAAACATTCACAGGAACACAGTATGGGCTCAGGCAGTGTTTAAAGACTGGTTCATGGAAAAGAACATTTAAACAGACTTGGACAGTGTAGAAAACCTGGATCAGCCTTTGGTACAACGTAAAACCAAAAAGTCAATATGTGGCAGTGCAATAATCGGGATAATGTGCAACATGGCATAAGTCATTGACGAAAAATAACATCCCGAATGTACATGTACTGTATAGCAAATGGCCACTCCAAGTTTCTACACCCAGGCCACAGTGTCAGCTGTGACCTGCACACAAACACACATGACATTCCAAATTGTTTTCAATGTCACGCCATGTTACTCACCCACTCTAAACACAATCAAAACCACAAGTCTGCTCCTTTACGAGTTGGACACTTCACGTCAATGCAGGACCAACATTATTCATGCAACCACAGCACATAACCTTGTGATTATTTATCACTTACATTCACCAAAGATGCATCATGATGTATGCAGATATAAGCTTCATCTCTAAAATATTGGTACATTTTTGTGTGACACTAGAGTCGACGCTGTGAACTACCATCACCACCTGCAGCATCCTAAATGAGTGCATTTTCATATAGAACAACGAGGCTCCCCAACTACATCTTTGACCAAACCCCCCCATAAACCTCAAAGGTCATGCTGACTGTGATATGTGCTGTGTGTGTCGAACTGCTCATTCAGACCAGTTAGTTCTGTCGTTCGTTTGCCACCGCGGCACAGATCCAGTATCCCAGTTTAGACTGTCATTGTATCCTTCAGCAATCCCCACACCCATACAACCCCCACCCCACCCCCCAGAGCCCTGCAGCTGCCCCGGGAAACAGGCAACAAGGACAGTTATGCAACTGGGAACACTGTGAATCTTTTATAATGTTTCCATCTGAATCGCACAAGCAGTGTGAAAATAATCGAACGGTTTCATACTCTCAGTGCTTTCAAAATTGCATTCAAAAATTCATTGCAACAACCTTGTATGTATGTATTTAGTAGTATTGTAGCATTCAAAATAACCTTTATCTAATTGTAAACTGCTGCTAGCTTTTAGCATCCCATTTTCCAAGTTGTTCATCAGTGGTTAAGTGCAGGTTTGTAGTTCTGCAACCTGATTCCAGATCAAATGTTAATATATATTTCCACACTATTTTACTGAGCTTCTGAGAGCTGGCCTGCAGTCTGGTGGCAGATTCTTTTTCGCAGCAAAGCCTTCAGGGAGCAGTTGAAGGCTACATGCATTCACACATTCACACATGGGTGTTGCCAGGAACAACAGGAAGACTTGGTCACTGACGGCTGTATAATGTTTCTATGTACATTATACAGCATCTTATAGGTCCCTCATTTGTCCTTTCACTTCCTGTTTTGAAAGGAAAGGGAGTTAAACACACTGGGTGTGGATGTATGTGTGTTATGAATATGTTGTAGTGTGCTTTTTGTTGGTGTTTATCAAGTCCCCTTGACACAAGTTCTTTAAATTGATGCTGATGACGTCTTTACACCACATATCAAGACATCACTTCCTCACCTCATAGGGGAGTGATTGCCTTATAAAAGAATCACTTCTCTCAGGAGGCAGCCTTCTCTGGATTCCTATGGTTTGAACTGGACTTGAGTCATTCAAACGTAACGTCCTAAGCCAGACCAGGAAAAGAAACCATGTTTACTGTGTGAAAAGCACCACAAATAGACCCAGGCATGTAAGACGACTCTGTTAACGTGTGCATGTTAAGTCTTACACACGGTGAGATGTGAAGGAATGAGTGGGGCTAAATAAAAAGCAGGATGTTGTTTCAACCAACAACATGTAATACATTGTGTTTGGTTGAAAACAACAGTGAATAAATAAAAGGAGATTAAAATGTTTAAT